GGGTATATATATATATATATATATATATATATATATATATATATATATATATATATATATATATATATATATATATATATATATATATATATATATATATATATATATACATTAAAGGTGATATTAAACACAGTCAGCTATTAATATATGAATCCTTTACTTTCAATATGGTCCAGCTGCCCTGTGGTAGTAAGTTGCCATATTCAACCTTTTATCAATTGCATGTGTATGTGAATTATATATACTTTATATATATATATATATAAATTGTATTTGCTTTGCATTTTTGAGTGTCAAAAATAAACTTGAAGAAAGAAACTGTACAAACTGAGAAATATGGAATGTAAATAAAATGGCATCAGCTGTCTCTATTTGCACATGAATAAATTATAAAATTGTTTTATGTATCTCATCCAGTTTATACATAAAGGTTCATAGATCTTTTTGCATGCCAAAACTAAAAATAAATTTTCATTAGTTTATCCACTCTGGGAAGGCAGATTATGATACCAAATTTGTACAAAAGACAACTTATAAACATGAATTAGAATTATGTTAAGATTCAAACAATACCTTGTTGGTGCCAAGACCCATGCTTTCTCCAGTCCAAATATAAACTTGCCATTGCTCATCCTTTTATAGCTGTCAGCCTGGTTCTGTGGAGGGACAGTAGTGCCATGTAATGTGAGCAACACAGGACATACTCCTCCCTCACAATCTCGCAGAGGTTGTATGGCAGCTGCATGCTGGACTGAGCCATCGTGGTCCACAAAAGTAAACAAGAAGGACTCTCTCTGTCTTCTACACCGCAGAGTGACTGGATATAGCAGCTGTCCCTCAGAGGTTGACACTTTGAGTTTCAACATGATATCAATACATTCTTCAACAATTTCAGCTTCATTTGAAATGAGTTTGATCACAATAGGCATGGCCTGTCCAGGTGCAATGTCATATGGAATGTGGGGACTGGCCACAGACAGGTCTGACCCATCAGACTGTTCTTGTACTGTTATCTTTATATTTTTTAACCATTTAGTAGAATGTGTGTTTACAATAGGCAGTGGAATGTAACCAGTAAACAGATACCCATCAATTAAATCAGGCAAGAAGTGAGGCTTTAAAATATCAAAACTTGATGTTGTTACCTTGATCTCACACTTGACATTCTGGACAGCTTTAGTTCTCAACCTTATATATATTGTGTGTATTCCTCTCTCCAACTGAACAGAAAACCAAAATTTTTCTCTGTGATAAACATCCCCAACAACAGGCAACCCATCCACTAATACTGTATTTACGCCTTCACATTGCAATAATATATTCTGACCATTCTCTGTCACTGCAAACTCCCCAACCAGCCAACCCTGCCACTCTGTGATGCCCACAGACCCCAGTGAGTTGACCAACTCTCCCCATTTGACATCAGGAGAGATCTGTAATATCTGACCTGGAGCTTTCTGTATATGTGTCTGCCATCTCACCTCACCATCAGAGATCAATTCAGAGAACATTTTCCACCCTTTTTTATATCTGTGTACTGAGACATTTGCAATTCCTCCCATAGCTGCCACAGGGTCTCCATCAACTTCCATCTTTCCAATGACGAAGGGCCCAAGGAAATGCCATTCTTTAATAAAGCTGCTGACTTTCCCTAGGAGTTTTGAGGCTTGCTTGAAGCTGCTGGTAGCCAGTGCTGTCTTTTGCAAGTTTTGATACACATGGCCCAATGATGCCCATAACCAACTGTCAGTCTGTGAGCCAGACTCCTGCAGGACTTGGATTAAACAGGGAATGGCTTTTTCATACTAGAAAAAAAAAAAAAAAAACTTCTGGTGTTTAATGAACTCTTTTAATCTGTCTTAAGGAAAAATTAATACTCTTAAAGTTGATTTTTCTTGAATGAAATTTTATCTAAAATCCCCTTTAAAAGGTTTGTCGAAATTTTCAACTTACCTCATTATTGATCCTTAGATAATCTATTGCTCTTGCATTTATTGCTTTGAGTGAACAACCAGATTTGGAAGATTTCAGACGTTTGCTTTCCTTTTCTAACAAATCTGTGGAGGACTTCTGTAACATAAATACATGGTGAGCTGACATTCATAAGAAATGGATATCCTCATTTAAAACTTGGGAGTGATTTTAAAGCATGATTAATAGAGCACCAAATAAATGTGATTGCATGTGTGCGATAAAGCTGCGTATATTGCGATGTTTTTGTGCAATGTACCCACTTGTGGGGACAGCCTCAACATCTTGTTTGCAAGTTCATTAGTATGATTGTCATAACATATTGATACATGCAGTCATTTCCATTTGCCCTGTTCGAGCTTATCAATAGAGAATTAAAAAAAAAAAAGTTAAGCTATAACCTTGACTGAATAATCTAAAAAGCAATATAAAACAACATGAAAATACCAAACCTGTCTACCATAAAAATTAAAATATCATAATTGGTTAGGTATACCAGTATGTGTCCACATTAAATGTAACACCCCATTTCCATAGATTTTAGATCGATCTATCCCTGTGGGGAGTCTCACTAGATTACTGTCAGCTTGGCCGGCTTAAGCGTCTGTCCCACCTACTAAAAGCTGTAAGGGGGTAATTAACTATGGTGCCCACTCAGCTGACTGCAATTTAGCGTGAACCCCCAGGGAGTTAGGTCGATCTAAAACTTAATCTTTAGATTGATCTAAATCTCTGGGAAAGCACCCTAAGACCCCATTTCCAGAGATTAGATCGATCTACTTTAGATCGACCTAACTCCCTGGGGGTTTACGCCAAATAGCTGTCAGCCGGGCGGACACGAAAGTTAATTACCCCCTTACAGCTTGTAGTAGGCGGGACGGATATTTAAGCTGGATTATCTGACAGTAATCTAGTGAGACTCCCCGCGGGGATAGATCGATCTAAAAGCTCTGGGAATACAGCCTAAGTCAACAGTAATCATTGCAGTCAAAAGCATTTAACATGCACTTACCAACAAATCTTTTTTCTTTGAATTTGTTGGCCCCGCTAAAAATAAAGAAAATGTTATGACAATCCACGATAGATGCATTACTGAAACGCACACACGCAAGATTATCAATTATCAATAATATACATATATAGACAGGTCTAACTTCTACACATGTCAACTCATGTTGATACTCGGACTTCACTCAAAGAAGAGCTCTCTTTGCTTGGTTCTCGTAATAATAAAGAAATGCAACCGGTTGGTAGTGAAGCAACGATAATTACTAAATATTATTGCATAGATAATATAAGTTTTAGATTTTCTATTTTACTTATGGTACCATAATGTGATAAGGGGCACAGTAAAATGTTTAGTGATTAGGATTTTGCTAAGAAATTTTGGGAACTAGTCAAGTAATAAGGCGATTCAATGCACCAAGGCAGGCGGCACCGACCAGTTGTGTATGCTGTCTCTAAGGACGGTTATTAAATCTTGAATACCATTTGTGTAGCGAAAATGACAAGACTTTTGACTTGAATACTCGAAGTATTTTTTTCTGAACACGTACGATATCAAAGCGGTGTTAAGATTCACCAGCATTTTTTTATTTGAGCCAAAGGGTAACTGAAGCCAAAGTGAAGATATAGATGGCAGCCAGTAGAGAAGAACAATCAAGGAACTCTTGGATAAAGGAAGGCAAGTACTTCTTGCTCTAATTTCTCAGCTGTTAGTTAGTTTATTTTTACTCTGCTTAAAAAGGCAAGCATAGACATTGTGTTAACCAAATCTACTTTGCAGCAGTACGCTTTTGTAAAATGTAACGCGATACTGCAGTTGTTATAACTGACCCCAGTTTTTGACTGATATAATAAATCCACTTTTACGGCTTTAATTTTTCAAGTAAATAGCAAAATATTTTTTTGTTATTAGATTTTTTCTACACCACCGTTCTTTGCTTTTTTTTATACATACTCAGTCATTTCTCTTTGGTTCAAAATAACATATTAACATTTACTTCTACTAGTAGTACATTGTACAATGTACAAGCACCTTACTACTACATGTAGATATAGATCTATAGTGCTTAGTTTATTTGTTTATTTGTTTATTTAACCTGCTACAGTTTGTAAGAGAAGAATGGCTTGCTTTACCAACTGGCATCATTTTGGTTTGTATGGTTAGGTCAGATTTATATCTGAATAAATCTACACCTTTTTGTTCATTCTTGTGGTTCAGAATTCCCAGCCATAAACTGTCCATGTGGTTTTTGTAATTCTCACAATTTTAATTTAATTAAATTATTTAATTTAATTAAATTTAATTTAATTAAAATATGTTTATATGTCACTCTCTGACTGGTAAGATATTCCTTCTAAATATGCGTATGAGCAAAGTGATTAAGATCTTATTTTAAGACATCCAACCATTTAGTTATCATTATTTTTCACTCTTTTCCTATTGTTACTACTCTTCTTTTTTAACATGAGAGAATGGAAAAGTTTTAGCTGCAAGTTAACATGACTTTGTAATGTAGAGTGACAATGAAAGTGGACCCTAAACGGATATAGATTTATTCAGATTATTTAAAAGGATGTATATTCAGTGTATTACACTCGCTTTTCAACATGTTTAAATGTACTACAAGCTTAATAGTTCTGCAGATTGATATTGCTTTGATACTTGTATGTATTTTCTTTTGTTGCAAGATGCCTGAACATCAGTTTTTTCACCTTTGAAACTGCATTTAATCCTGTATTTGTTCAGTATGTCAGCAAGCTTTGATGTGACTAAGCATGAATTGACTTTTATGAGGGATATGGGACCTTGTACACCTTTCATGTAACAGCGTACAAAATGGGTTACAGAAAAGAGTTTAAAATCTTAGGTACAATTGGGCAAAAAGGTCTTGTTTGAAATGTCCATTTAAGGCTATAATTTTATAATTTTGGCATCTTGCCATCTTGGTGTGCATACCGTTTAACGATTAATATTTTCTGTTGTGAACAGTTATATGTAATAATCTATTTTAAGAAGAATATATATATATTCTTTTTTACTTAATTTTTTTTCTTTTTTTACTTAATTTTCTGTTCAAATTTTAGTAATTTTTTCTTAAATAATTTAGAAATTGTATTATTTGGTGTTATATATATCTTTTAATTTAACTGATTAGAAAATAGAAAATCCCATTTTAAGGCCTAATTCAATGTTTTTTATTACCATCTAGGCCACTGACTTTTCCAGATGATGACCCATCTTTCTACACATCATGTCCAGCTCGAGGATTCAGTATTTTTGGCATTTCTCGGAGACCGAGAATTAAATAATTGAAGACATTTGGTCAAAAATATGACAGACATCTACTGATGAAAATGCTTTTTATCCTTGAATAATTTCTCACGATCATCAGTTTATCCCAAACCCTTTTAAATTTACATTATTGTGTGAAAGTGTTGTGTCATGATATTGAAAAAGACTGTAACAAAAATTAGTGCTAAACTCTTCTTGGTCAACACAATTTCAAGGATGACTTTTTGCACATCTTATAAATTACATATAAGTAAGTGAAATATATGACTTCTGTGAAAATGATGTTTGATTCTCATGAATGCATACCTCCATCATTAAAAAAAATGATGTAAAAATATCTTGTTTTCAGATATTCATTTTTATGACACCATTTATTAGGTATATGACAGTGTTAATTCTAAGTAAAAGAAAAGAGATCACAAATTTGTTATTTAGAAAATAATGGCTACTGTATTCACCAGATGATCCCCACAAGCTCCCTCCATTCCCTGTGTTCAAGGATGGATACGAGGATATATTGGAGGACAGAAGAGGAAATAGTGACCTAAGGTTTGCCATAAGGTCAAGAGAGGTGCCAGCATACAAATATAATCATCCAAGAACATCAGCACAGATCAAGGAATATGTCAGGAAAAGTGACAGGGTGACCTTCACTATTGAACAGGTGAACATGCTAGAATTGGTTCTCTGAAAATCTGCAATTTTGAAATATACCTGTAGAAATTTGACCATAACTTTTGTACTGGATATAGTGTTCCACTGTAAAAGCTGACAGGTGGAACATTATTCAGTGTACCATTATTATTCTTAATAGGTTGCCTCTGAGACAGGCACGCCCAAGGCAGAAGTGGAGAAAGAAGCCAATGCAATTCTAGATGAAATGGCGCACAATCTACGGATGGGAGCCATAAGGGGAATTGCCACTGTCTTGCCAAAAGTAATGAAGAAAATGTACAACAGGGTTTATGTCAACAAAGAAGGAATTTCAAGAGTAAGCATGAAATCAAAAGTTTCTGTACCGGTATATCTTGCAAATAAAAAGAATAGAAATCTAGGAAAAGGAAGCAATAAACTTAATGAAGGGGAACATTTTTTGTTTATGATTTGAGATTCAAAAAGTGAGTGTTTATTGTCCTGGGCATACACTTGCATTTCTAAATACATTTTCAAGTACAGTACAATATTGCTTTTAATTTATTGTTTTCTGATTGGTTATTTTACCAGGTGCAGCATTTGATAAAAGAATATCCAGTCATATTAATGCCAAGTCACAGAAGTTATGCAGACTTCCTCTTGATGTCCTACGTGTTCTATCACTATGATCTACCTCTGCCAGTTATTGCAGCTGCCATGGGTAAATTTTGCCATAAGCTCTAGTAGATTTATTTATTGTATTTGTTTATCTTTTCAATAGATATTTACTCTTTTTGTGAAGAATAACAAAATAAACCTGTATGGTTTTATAGAGGAGAAACTAAAAAAAAAAAAGAATGAAAAGCTCTGGGTGAAAAGTCAATATAATTGATGCAAGAGGCATTTTTTTCCCCTGTTTACATTATAAAACTTTGCTGGAATTTTTTAATGACTCATTCAAAGCATTGATATATTTCACAAACCAAAAATCAGTTTTTATTTGGTTACTGCAATGGATGTGTCCGGTTTTATCCATATATTTTACTTACTTTCAGATTTCATGGGTATGAATTTTGTTGGTTGGCTTCTCAGAAACTCTGGTGCATTTTACATCCGCAGAACCTTTGGTACAGACAAGTTATATTGGTCAGTGTTCACTGAGTATGTACAAACACACATTACCAATGGTGATGCACCTGTGGAGTTCTTTGTGGAAGGGACAAGGAGCAGAACAGGAAAATCTTTGGTGCCAAAGCTGGGTAAGTGTTTCTTTTGTAGCATGAAATAATAATTATTAAAATAATAAAATATTAAATTTTTTTTTATTTGATTGAGGTGTCTGTCAGAGAAGTCAATGTTTTTAACCATAAGGCAATCAATTTGGAAACAATTAATGCAATTCTCTTATTGATGTAAGATTATTCTGTCCTTATGTGTTCTGAGTAGTATACGATGACGTAATGGACAAAGCCCAGGGATGGACTAACCTTGTTAAATATTAATATAATGTTTCATCAATTATTTCCAGGGATGATGAAGGCTTGCCTGGAACCCTACTTCAAGGCCCATGTCCCTGACATCATGGTGCTTCCTATAAGTATCAGCTATGATAGAACACTGGAGGAGAGCCTGTACTCCTATGAGTTGTTGGGAGTTCCAAAGCCAAAAGAGTCCACTTCAGTAAGAACATCTGATAACTTTGATCAGTGACATTTTTGTAGTGAAGGGTGTGTGTGTGTCAAACAAAAACAAACAACTTTTTTTTTCTTTCAAATTATCTTAGTATTTGCAAGGCAGAGTGAAAGATTTGTTTGTTTCTATTTTTTCTGTGATGTCATTACTTACAGCACAAACGTGACATTCTTTCTTATAGGGATTGCTGAAAGCTAGCAGTATACTCAATGAAGATTTTGGCAATATTCATATGTTTATTGGTGAACCAATATCAATCCGACAGTTTTCCATAGGAAAGATAGACAGGGTTCAACACAGTTTGGCACCAAGGTTTGTTAACAGTCTCCATGCTTTGATTATAATTGTGCATTTTCAACTTTGAATATTATTTCTGCTTTGATTCACATTTGGGTGTCAGATATTGCAAAAACCCATTTCACTTATCCTTGTTGTAAATTTGTTAGGCAAAGCATGGGTATTTCTTTGTATAAAGTTTTATGATTACATTCTGAATGCAAAATTTATATCATTTAGCATTTGTTATTGGAACCATATCACTACTACATGGTCATGTATACTTATACAACTTTTTTTAACATATTGACGATCTGACACACATGATAGAAAGACTGTAGTACACACTAACATATGTATGATCTGTGTTGTAAAGCTCCAATAGTGTTTATCCATAACATTATCCATGTGACTACAATCAGTTTATCTCAAACTTGCAGATACATTGCTAGTCTCACAAGTGATGAAGAAAAACTGATGAAGGAACTTGCCTATCAAGTTGTTCTAGAACAGCAGAAACACATGGTGATATCTCCCTGGGCCTTGGTGGCAACAGTCCTCATTCAGAACAAAGATGGCATTGATCTTCAACAGCTGGTCAAGGAGGTTGAATGGCTGAAGAGACAGACAGCTAACTTAGGTGGTTATGTGGATTGGCCAGGTATTTACAGAAACTCTGAAACAGTGGTCTTGGATTTGAATGACTGCCTGTACCAAAAACCACCTTTTAGCTATGTCTAACTGATATGATATTTAGTTATAAGTAAAGCATTTATAGAGCTAAAAGTAAAAATGTATTACACTTAGACTTAAAGAAACCATATCAAAAGACAAAGAGAAGAAATAATATAAAAATGATATAAAATATAAAAATAAGGATGATGAATTAGGTTTTATCATGACAGAAACACTCAAATAATTTTTCCAATCTTCTAGGCAATGAAAAACCAGAGATGGTGATAAGAGCAAGGCTGGAACTTCACAAACACATCCTTGATATATCAGATGAAGATTTTGTGGAGCTTAAGAACATCAAGCCGCCCCCCAATGTGACCCCAGAGTTACGCCGAGATGGTGTAATATCCCAGGCAGCTTTGCAGGTGCTTTTGTCGTTGTACAGAAACCAGCTTCTCTATCTGTTTGTGAGGCCTGCCATGGTGACGCTTGCAGTGAATGGCTGTCTTCAGGAGACCATGTCAATGGGTAAGAGACAGGGTAGAAATGTTTACTTAATGGAAACCTTTTGAATCGACCACTAGTAGTTTAAATTCTTTATTAGTCATTTTAGGTACACTGTAAACTTCAGTGTCCATTGTCACTGTGTCCATTGTTGGGGATGAAAATGCTTATAAAGAGAATTGTGTAAAACTTATTAGTAAATTGACTTGGCATTTTATATTATTTTTGCAGATGAACTCTTTAAGAGATATGAATTTTTGGAACACCTATTCAGACATGAGTTTGTTTTCAAGCCAGGACAGACTAAAGAGGTATGTACTTTTAAGATGTATTAAAATGTTAATAAAAATAGTCTTTTAACTACTGCACTATATTTGCTAAAAAAAAAAAAAAAAAAAAAAAAAAAAAAAAGAAGAAGGAAGAAGCCTTTGGATTTTGTATAAATAATAGATCATTTTAATTACTTAGGAACTGTTAATAGATTATTTTCATCCATTTTGTTTTCTCACCAGGATTTTGACAAAGCTTTACTCAACCTGACTCATGGTGGTGGATTAGTTATTGTGGACAATCAAGTGCAGATCAAGAAGTCAACCAATAAATACACAACATTCCTTAGTCTCATGTTTGAACCTTTCCTACTAGCTTATTGGGTAAGAAAAAAATAATATATTTTTTTTTCTTTTTGTTAAATTGGGGTTATCCAATGGAAATTGAATAATAAGGTGCAGGAACTCATCAAGAAAGATTCAGTTGTTTAAACAACAGCAAAGAAAAAGTTTGATCTCATGTTGACTTATTTATGAGATCAAACTTTCCTCTGCATTGTAATCTTTACATGATACATTCATTTTTTTAAATAAATTAATTTTTCTTAATAGACATGAAGACATTCTCTGCCAATAAAAAAGGGTTAAGTTATATCAGGTTTAATTCTTTGTTAAAAAGTATAATTACGGTAGTAATTGTATTCACAATCCTCAGGTACTCTGTAAACACTTCCTGTCATTGGGGTGTGATGTGAATGGCAAACCTCTGCCAAAGAAGCCCAAAGTGGTGTGCAAGGAGGCCCAGCAGTTGGCTGTGAGGTGGCTACAGGAGGGAAGCCTTAAGCATTATGAGGTGATGAACCTGGATATACTGGGAAATGGGTTGTTGTCCATGATCCACATGGGAGCTGTGGCCAAAGATAAAAGGTATTTTTTACAATGGAGGTATTTTTACAAACGGGTCTTTCACTCTGCCTCGCAATACAATGGAAAGGAAAAATTAAAGAAAAAATGTTTGGGATTGTAATACACCTTGATGATCTTGACGGTGATGTTATTGTTTGAAAGCAGAAGATGTTAATGTAACTTATAGAGATTTTTATACAACTGTAATATACAAATAAACATGTGAGAACAGCCTTTTTTTTCCTAATTCTAGTTCTGAATGTGTTTCTTGCATGTCCGTCCCATACTGTTTGTCACCATATTAAATCCTTATTTTTAGGAGTGGCGAAACATATGTATCACCCAATCAAGTGACAGTTTCCAGCATAAGTGAACAAATAGGTATGGTATTAGGGTACACTTTAAGAACAGTTCTTATTTAAATCATCTTATATCTTTTTTTCAGTTCTAAGCTTTAATTAAAGGCAATAAATAATGCATAGTGGGCAGTGGGCCTAAGTAAGTAATTATGTGTAACAGATAAATTTCTTGCTGATATTACAGGCCTGTAGCCAGCAATTTGGATGGAGGGTGGAATTTTTTAAAAGTAGACCTTTTTACCCCTTTACCAGTACTTGGCACAACTTCGGGAAATAGCTTAGACCCTATGTTAAATTTTTGATACAGTATGAACTTTTTTTGGTCAAAAGTGCAATTTTTGTTTCAAACTCTGAATCCACCTTCCTGTGGGCCCTTATTAATTTTCATGAGCTAAACTGTAGAATATGTGTTATTCAAGTCATTCATATAATATTTCAGGCAGATACATTGAACTCCCTGTTGTGCCAGACCCAAGATTCAACAGCACACCAAACTTCAGTGCACAGTCTAAAGATAAAGTTACTGTGCCAGCAAAACTTTGAAGCATCTTTTTGAAAGAAATTGTCAAAAATAAGTGTCATAAGAACTGTGAATTTCTGCGTAAAATTGTAACAGAGTAAACTTTTTGCCCATACACAAAAATGTGCTTATGTTGTACATATATAAATTGCTTCCTTTTTGAATTTTAAAGTTGCTCATGTAGCGTGCATTAAGGCAATGAACTCATAAAATTAATTATCATGTTAAATTATTATCCACATAAAATTTCTGGAGTAATCTGATGTACTTTGAGCCAGCTTAGTATTTTTATGGCTTAAGTGTACATTTAGTCATGATTAAATTTGTAGTAAAAACTGAAGCAGTTCATCAGACTCATTTACTATTTAATTTGTTTGTAAAGTGCAATGTCTTAGTAACTTGGCTCAAGTGCTTTTTTATCACTTGAATTATTAAGTCAACCCATGAGCTTTAATTAAATGTAATAGAGTTATTTTGTATGATGAACTAGTCTTATGCTTGGTGCAAGTAAATGAATAGAAGTCATGTCTTTTAAAACTGTTACATAATTTTAATATCATCAAATAAATGATATCCTGCTTACTGTTACTGCTGTTATATGGAGATGTTTGTTATGAATATTACAGACGTATAGTTAGCCGACTTGAGCAGTTGTCATCAAGCCTGATTTTACAGATGCCTTGTAAATTTATACACTGTTAATTTTGGGATTCAATATTTTAAAGAACAATTTTAACTCTCATGCTGATCTTTGACACTATTAAGAATCTATTATGCATATGTTCAACCAAATTCACATTAAAATCACCAGGAACAGCATTATGCTTTTAACAGATGGTCATGCATTTCCAGTTCTTCTAATACTATAAGTTTTCTCACAATAAATTTAGAATTTGAAGGGCATTCACTCCAAAAGTAGGTTCAGTTGAAATTTTAAACACCACTCTCCCCCCCCCCCCTTAAATAACTATGTAGCCTAAAATTGCATCAAAATTTGTGAACTTTTTTTTTTTTTGCTACATTGACCAATTAGACAATTTTTGACCCAGGATTGACGAGTTTTAGTCCAGTCCAATGACAACAAGATAGGGAATGTATCTGATCTGTACTTTCTTTCTTAAGAGGGCAACTGTGAACTTATCTTGAAATCAAATTTTGGTTTAAAAGTTAGACCAGTTTTGGTATTCAAATATAGTTCTTTCCTGAAACTAGTCTAAAATCCATGTTTAAAAAGTTGTGTAGTATAAATTTAAAAAATACCTCATATTTCACACCACAATAAATGTAATATTTAACCTGGCTGATTTAAAATCTGTAATAAAGGCTTTACACAAGGAAATTCAACTGACCGTCAAACCAGTGGTATCGTCTTAGGCCTCAGTTTCCTTCCAATTCATCAACTCTGAAGTCAAGTGTTTGGTCTTAATCAATACTTTAATGATACAATACAAAATAATCTTATAGGATACAATGCATTTACATAACTAATGGATAGAAATGGGTCCAACTCTAGTGCACAGCATTAATCAACAGCAAGTATACAGTAAACCCTCTAAAACATTCAAGAAAAAAAAAAGATAACTCGAATTAAAGTGCCAGTTTTAGAGACTTTACCATAGCCTGGTGGTTTTTCCACACCCACTTCCAAAACAATGTTGTAAGATTCAACTTTTTTTTGTTCAATAATAATAATAATAATGATGATAATAATACACATGCTTTACACCAGCAGTAATAGCAGCAATGTACATATTTCTACAATATTCTTACAAGTTGTCTCATCACCATTTTCCTCGTTTATTTTTTTCTTATCAAATCACTCCGGCAGTCTCCATTGTCAACTGCTCCATTATATATATATATCTCCTGTCCTGTCTGGTCTAGTGGTGGTCTAGTTCTGTACAGTACAGTTAAGAAGTATAGGTAACATCACAAGATACACACAAGCCCAAACAACAGCTACCTAATGAGATGCTGTTCACATCAGCAGGAGCTGGGATAGTAAAAGTACAACAGTCAAAGCAAAGAGAAACAGATACTGCTTCTCCGAGGTCAGTATAGCAAAAAGCTGTAGAACATAATATTTCCTTTTAATTACATATTCGGGTTATTGATTTTATTGGCTTTTCCTTCACTTACTACTTTGCTAAGATAGCAGTGTGACATGTTAATCAATAATCACAACAAAAAACTTTTCCATTAAATGTCACCATTTTCAGTTATTTGACCGAAATAGGTCAGGGCTTCCATGTTATGTTCG